TGTAACAGTAAAATGCACAATGTTTAGTTATTTTGCTAAAAGGCTAATCACAAACTAAGATAAACGATATAATGCTAAAAGGCTAATCACAAACTAAGATAAACGATATAACATGTGTTCTAAGGGTACATCTTCGATCTCACCACATGTTCTTTCTTAGGTTGCAGAAGATGACCATTGCCCGAAATCACCGCCAGTCATGAGACTCCAGCACGTTGAAGCTTATGAACTCGAATGGAGATTCAACCAGATCTGATCCATAAACTTCAAAAACTAGATGTTTGCTCATTCATCAAGGTTCACATAAGATGACTGAGTAAACTAACCTTCTAAACATCAAGAATCGACCCATGAAATATCTCTGAATATCTAGAAAACTTATAATTCATAAGAATACGTTCAAAGAAAGCTCTAATCATGGTTTACATGCGAACAAACACCAAAGTTATAGATAATAAAAAAATTAAAAATTATATATTGTTATTGATTTGTTTTGCCGGCTAAATACATTGGCTACATAAATGGTATTCGAAGCTCAACACCCATACAAGTTTTTTTAATGCTAAAAGGCTAATCACAAACTAAGATAAACGATATAACATGTGTTCTAAGGGTACATCTTCGATCTCACCACATGTTCTTTCTTAGGTTGCAGAAGATGACCATTGCCCGAAATCACCGCCAGTCATGAGACTCCAGCACGTTGAAGCTTATGAACTCGAATGGAGATTCAACCAGATCTGATCCATAAACTTCAAAAACTAGATGTTTGCTCATTCATCAAGGTTCACATAAGATGACTGAGTAAACTAACCTTCTAAACATCAAGAATCGACCCATGAAATATCTCTGAATATCTAGAAAACTTATAATTCATAAGAATACGTTCAAAGAAAGCTCTAATCATGTTTTACATGCGAACAAACACCAAAGATTGAAACTTTAAAGTGTAACTTTGCTGTAGCCTACTTAAAAGACCCTTTAAAGTGTAGCAAATATTTACTCCCTCCTAGAAGAAAGATAGAGCACAACATGATTAGAGAGATATAATGTAATTTATGGTGTTATGGTTGGAGTTGCTTTAAGAATGGATTGAAGAAATTAGAACATTAGATAGGTAGGGGTAAGATTGGATGTAACGAATGGTAACAGTAAAATGCACAATGTTTAGTTATTTAGCAAATATGATATTCTCATTGCTGTGGAGCGAAATTTCTCTGATACATATACATATACATA